CGTTAAAGATTACTGCAAGATATTGACTGTAGTTCCGAGAATACATTGTTAAATGAAAAAGCAGCCTGCAGAGTAGTGTATTTAATCCTGTACTTGTAGGTAAGAAAAGTGGGTAAAGGCGTGAATTGTTGTGAGAGCACATGTTTGCTTACAGTCACATAAAGACCAGTTTAAAGGTAAGTTAGACATTGATCCCAGAAATTTCCTGTGAAAAGAGGAAGGGAGTAGGATGGAGAAGACAGGCTTGGAAGCAAGTCTTCTCTGAAAGTAGCTAGTTACATAGTTTGACTCTAGAATTATATGGATGTTTTACGTAATCAAAACTAAAAGTAGACCAGAAATGGGGGAAGCAGTTCTTGAATTTTGAAAACAAACCGAAACAAACGAATCTAGTTACTTATTAAATTGTTGAGGTGGCCACGCAGAGCAGGGGATCATTTCAGCTGATGTCTCGTATAGTACAGGTGTTTCTCTGTACGTTCTCAGCAAGATACACGCCGACGAGAAGAAAAAATAATGCAAAGAGATGATAAAGTTTATCCCGAAAGCTATTAATGGTAACTATATGATACTGGTATTTTTAAAGAATTATGTTAATGGATAAAGCAAATAAAAAGTAAGTATGTCATCATTATTAGGAACCTAGGTTTTTCAGCATAATAGAAAAAAGACATAAAGTATAAAATCGAAGAGTTAAATGAAAACTTTAAGATTCAGATCTAAAATCTTAAATCTAAATTGAAAATATTACCGTTTATTCTTAATTCTTCTCCCTCTTTAAAAAAAAAAGTTTTCCCAGCCTGCAACTGAAACAGCCAGGAAGTAGTAATACTCTAGCAGCACCCAGCACCCAGCACCCAGCGCCCGCTGGGCTCCCCTGAATGAGTGAGCTCCTTGGTGAAGTGGCCACTTCCGGACCTGAGGCAGGAAACGTGCAAGATGAGCTTAGTGCTTATTTGCCAGACCCTGAGAGCAGCGCCGTGTCAGAAGGACGCAGAGTCTGCTACCACGTTAAGGGTGCACGGGATGGCTGTTCCCTCCACGTTTTAGTCCTGATCAGGACTGAAATTAAACCACCCAACTCGTCTATTTAAAAATCGAAACAAAGTCCGTTGAAAACAAACGTTTCTGTTGTGGGTCTTGCACACACAACAGAGATAAAAGTTGAGAAGATAGAGCAGGAGGTGAGGGGGGTCTGACGCGACCGCGCTGGGGCTCATTCGGTTATTCGTTCTGGTCCTGTTTCCGTCCGCTTCCTCCTGCGCGGCTCCCGTCAGCCCTTCCCAGAGCTGCCTGGGCGGCGGGAAACGCACTTCCCCAGCAGGAAAGATGCTCGGCAGTCAAGTGTGTGTAACATGAACAACTCAAGAGAAATTAATGGCCAATTGATTTTTTTTTCATGAAATGAAGTTTAGAATAAAGCTCAAAGTAATTTCTTGAAATTTGGTTCAATTCATCACCAGCACTGAATCTGACCCCCCCCCCAACCTGGATTAATTAGAGATAATGCTATTTTGTTTATCCAATGCCAATACAGCAAATTAAAGTTTAGTTAGTATTCACTGTAATAAAGTTATTTCCAAGGTCTAACAAATGGAGGCAGAAATCATCTTAATGCTCTCTTAAAGATAATTAGTAATGAAATAACCCTAATTAGTAAGGTTAAGGTTTATTTATGATGTTTTCTAAAACATCTCAGAATATTTCTAAGTATCATTATTTCTGAAGCTTCTCTAGAGAGGCTAATAGTGTTATCCCAAACCGAAAAGTGAAGATGAGTGAACCACCAGATACCTCTGATCAGAATTAAAACCTTTTCTTGTAATACCTGGGTTCGGATAACCAACACACACTGTGTCTTAGCTTGACTAAGCGTTTTTCTGTGAAATGTAGTCTGTGTACCACGTTGTCTGGCCATCGACATCTCAGTCTGAGAAGAAAAGATGAGCGGAATAAAGGGCAAACTCCTTTGCTTCTGGGACGGTACGTGTCCCTGTAGATACAGATGCACGCTTACAGCTAAGAACGTTCACTTCAGCAAGTTTCTTCCTGTCTTTTTTTTCCTCCCTCCTTTCTTCGAACGCTCTTACTCTTTGTCATGGGACCGAGGGAGCTGAGCTCTCTGCACATGGCGTGGTCCGAGAGGGAACACATTTGGATATAAGGTGCCTTCCATGTCAGTGAGACGTGAAGGGCTTGCTCCTTCTGCCTGCTGGCCTCGTCCTGGAAGAGCTTAGAACAGGAGCTCCTCGGGAGCAGAGCGCGGTTGCAGGGTCTGGAGAACGTCCGTCGAACGCCCTGTGCGCTGTCAGGGACTCAGCGCTCGATCTCTCGGCTCTGCAGGGAGCTGCCTTCGCACCAGATCTCTGAACGTCAGGCCCGGGAACCCTAACTAAACACTGATAAGCCTCTTGTCTTTTGGAAACGGTGAAGTAAGTTGTTACGACTGTTTCTTCGTTCACTTCCGTGGGTCCGATAAGTAACCGTGGGTCTTACCTGTCTCCTGTGATCAGTTCTTCTGCGAGATTTTCATTCTCATTCCTGAGAAATACTGGAGATACATTCTGCCTTGCAAGTGGACTTGCGGTGCTTTATTGGGCCTCTTTATAAGGTTTAAACTCGCCCTGGGCATCGGGTGTTGCGGCTGTGTGTCACGCTCCAAGGTGAGGACTGTCCACGTGGACCTCTGCCGCGTGGTCCTGCTACGGTCGGCGGCGAGGATGCTGCTCTGACGTGCAGGGTGCTGCTGGCTTCCTGGGTGCACCCCTTTGCCCTCTCCTTCCCCCTTCCCAAGAGCTGCTTTGCAGAAGACTCTCACTGGTCACGCGGTACCGCGTGACGTGAGAAACACTGCCCTACAGCTGTTTTCAAGGTCGCTGTAAGTCATCTCAGAAAAGAGAAGTTTGATATCAGAAACAATTTGTTGATAAATACTTACTTTGCTGTGGTTACACACTCGAGGGAAGAATTTGCTTAGAAATGTGTGTGGGGTATCAGGTAAAAATGTAAGGAGCCCAGATGCCCAACAGTGCAGGGCTCGTCAAACACCCATTCGGCTGGATACCAGGCAGCCAATTAAAATTAGGTTTTAGAATAATACGTAATGACATGAGAAGAGAGGCTCACAGCGGTGGTGACAGCTCAGCTTTGCTGGGTACTGATTTCACGCCGGGCACTTATTCTAAGACACACCTCGTATTAACTCAGCGGGTTAACCTCACCGCAGCCTTACGGGGAGGAGGTATTGCTACGCTTAGTTTAAAGGTGAGGAAACAGACTCGGAGCGCTTGAGCCGCTTGCCCAGCTTAGATGCTCACGTCTACCAGCACCGGAATCCGGGTCCAGGCAGCTTGGCTGCAAAGCCCTTGCTTGGGCATCATTGTGGGGGCGGGGGGGGACCACCAAAGAAAAGTCTCTATAAACTTTTTATGGAGCTAGACAAAACATGGAAAATTCATCTCAAGAAGAAAATGCATCAAAGATACCCAATCAAATTCTGACGGAGCAGAGCTGGCAGAAAGAGACGACATGCCCTACCAGGTCTACAATGTGCTGTGAGCTGGAGCAGTTTCGGGATGCCTGTTGCAGCAGAAATAGAGAAGCGTTAGAGAAGAAGTCGGAGAAGCATGCTGCTTTTTGTGTTCATAGGGGAGGAGGCTGAACAGGTGCAGCTGAATGTTAACAGTGATTCCCGCTGGTGGGACGCATTTGCAGTGATTTTCCTTTTTTTCTTTGTGTCTTTTAGATTAGCTACAGTGAACGTTTCTCGGGTCATATAATAGCAAATGTATTTTTAGTGCTTTTAGAACTGCAGAGTTGAACAGTGTCGCTGTTTGGTTCTATGCGTAGCGTACCCTGCATTTTCTGAAGTGCTTGCTCTGCAAAGTGAACGCTCTAGAATGTGTTGTCGGTGTCTGTGTCACATTCATCTGGGGCTCTGATTAGCCAGCTGCACAGAATCACCGCCCAGTCCTCCGTTTTGGTGAACATGGAGAAGAAGCAACAGGATGCTAATCCTCTTCTGGTCTTGGGTTGAAGAGCAGGATTTCAGAGTCTCCGACTCCTTTTCAAAACCCGAATCGTTTATTGACGGTGTAAAGAAAGGCTGTTGAATGTTCATGTGTCGCCTCTCCCTGATCACCTTCCTGAACTTGACTGTTAAGTTAGAACAGTTTTCCAGTTGGTTCTCTCGAATTTTCTAGGTAGCTAATCATTCCATTTACAGATAATGCTAACTATCCCCCCAATATTTATAGTCTGTATATTGTATAACATCCCCCCAGAATGGAATAGTTGGTTAAAAGGATGAGTAATTCTTTTGCTGACATGGAAAAATGGGGCCCCTGTATCATGAAGTGGATAAACAGAGTTAACAGAGTTCTAACCTGTGTGTGGTATGATCCAGTCTTTATTTTAAAAAATAAAAACAAACTACATAAAGTGCTCAGTTTGGGGGGATTCCATCCCCCTCCAAAATCCCCATACCAGTCGAGGTGCCTGCCTCAGCCTGTCTTGGGCTGTTGTAGCAGAATGACCACGGACTGAGTGGCTTCCACGCAGACCTTTGTTTCTCACCGTTACAGGGCTGGGAAGTGCACGGTCAAGGCGCCGGCTGATTCGGTTCCTGGTGAGAGCCTTCTTCTGTGCTTGCAGAAGCCTCCTCCTTACTGTGTCCTCCCCCGGCAGACAGAGAGTGACCTCCCTCTCCCGCGTCTTACGAGGCCACGTCCTTGAGACCTCTCTTCACCTTGAATCTCCTGAAGACCATCTCCAGAGACAGTCACATTGGGGTTAGGGCTTCCACAGGAATTTTGAGGGGACACAGTTCAGTCCCCAACAGTGCCTAAACTTTTCCCCCCAGTATCCTCAGAAATTCGACGTTTAATTTATTTCAGGCAGGATTCACTTCATCTGTTATGACGTCCCTAAGGCGCTTGTTGCTTTACAGCACATCGTAGTGATTTTATCAAAATTTAACCTTACGAATCGTTTCCTCCTAGACACAAAATCGCATGAAGCTGATGGCCGACAGTTACGAGGACGACCACTTCAAGCCCTCCCCTTCCAGCCAAGCCAACCATAAACCCTCCCCGGACCAGGTAAGACTGCTCTTGAGCGTTTCGTGAAAACCAGTGTGCTTTTATTTACGTGTATTTTGTACTAGCATGTTACAGCTTCTGGGGCGTAAGTTAGAAAAATGAAAATGATCAGCTTCTGAAAACTCTTCTGTTATTTTCTAAACACAGAATCAGTTCCTATATAGGAAGGTAGTGGATGATTCTGAGTATTTTAAGAGGAAATACTCGAAAGATTTGAGGTCGATAAAGAATCCTTGAATTGAGATGAGAAAAAGTTTAATCTTCTCAGAGATACTGAGTTTGTGACAGTCCTGCTTCTCTTACTGAAGGAACAGTGCCTTAGTAGAGAGCAGAGCTTCCCTCGTGAGCTCCGCGAGGCACACGCACCTCAGCGTAGAGGTTCCTGCTGTTTAATCGCAAATTTAAACATCTCTGCTCATCACCTGTGAAACGTGGAGACTGGAACTTAGTCTCTTCGTTCCATTTCCTTGGTGGTTCCCTCCAGGTTGGGTCATTGTTAAATTGTTGCCTTCAGCGTCTCATCAGTGCCAAAGAGGCACTGATGCCCAAAGGGAACCGTTTTCAACTCCAGTTTTTTGGAAGAAGGGAACGCTCCCAAGATCTTGAATATGATGGATGAGGGGGAGTGGTGAACAGATTACCTCATGTCCCATTGTCAAAAATCAGATTTCAACATCTCCATCACGCTCAACCTTAAAATGTAGAGCTGAGAGAGAAGAATCATAGTTAAGTAATTGCATCCATATGACTGAAGAGTCCAGGGGAGCCCCCCCGCCGCGTCTCCTCTAAGTGACAGCGTGGCTGTGTCTGAGGAGGAGGAGGAGAAGTACTGCAGATGGAAGCAGCAGTACGACCAGAAATGCAGTATTCTCTAGGATTCAGAAGGGATGTCGCGGTGTGATGACATTTGCTGAGCCTTCCATTAGAGGGGCAACAGCGCAAGCGCTAATGCCGGCCAGAGGGAGAGCTGTCGGCCGGGGTCAGCAGCTTCCCCTGCCAGGAAGGCGTTTTGCTTTCTCGGCCTGCCTCTTTGTACCTGGAATTAAACGTGTGCCAGGGTACGCAGGTCAAGTACTGGGTCTCTCCCTCGGAACGGATTTTGTTAATGAATGCGAGGAATCGGATGCCTGGGAGTCGTGGGAGGCAAGCAGAAGTGGGGGAGGTTGAGGCAAAGGCAGACGATAGAGAAGAGCCTCCGAGGTGACCCTGGTGCCCAGCTCCAGCCCTGGGCAGAGCCAGCGTCCTGGAGGGCGCGGGGCGGGGGGGCAGCGGCCGGCCGGCGGCCAATCGGGACCGGGTGTGAGGCGGGCTGGGGGTGGGGGGCGCGTCTTCTGCTGCCGCGTGATGCTCCTGTCTGTTCCGAATACTAACCGGCTCTTTTTCGTTCCCATGCTGCCCTGGGGCCCGTGGCCATGCCTCCCTAGGATGAGGAGGAGGGTATATGGGCATAGCCAGCCAGATGTGCTTAGTTCAGCCATTTTGTTCAGAACGGTGAGAAACAGCTTTCCTTAACCACACACACGTGTTCTCTGCTTGCCTTCACTTCTTTCCTTCCCACGGTCATCCTCACGTCTTGTGTCTCTGTAACCCATTAAACCCTGCCGTGTGCCCTCTGCTTTCTCGTTCCCGCTGACGCCCGTGTGTGCGGTGCTTCTGCCGTGGCGGGGTTCGGTTTCATGCCTTTGTGCTTGTTTCCTGTTCTGCGCTAATAGTCACCTTTATGCACCGCTGGGAGGACTTCCAGGGCATACAGCTGAGTTTCTCCTGTTGTTACTTTATTTATAAACTACCCTATCCAGCATGATTTTACAGTGTCCTGGTGAGGTTCACAGTGACTTGCATCAAACTGGAAAGAGAAAAATCAGATACTCTGCCAGTAGGTTTGGGGATGTACTTTTATGATAATTAATAATACACAGTCTTAAAATTAAAAAAAAACCTGTATTGTGGACTGAATCCTTCAGTCTCTGTCTTTAGAAGAATGCTCTGAACTCTCAGGGTCAGGCACATTTCCCCGGGGCCTCCCTGGGCCTCCCCCAGGGCTTGGACGTTGCGCCCACACTGACCTGGAAGTAAAGAGAAGTGAAGAAGGCGAAGAAGCCTTTCCTGCAGGTTGGCCTGAAGAATCCTTTTCCGCTCGTTTATGGAGCGCTGCTGTGTTAAACACTTGCCAGGACACTGTCTGGACCCTCCTTTCCAGACCAGTTGGCTGGAAAACACAGCCCAGCTGTGTCAGTGTCACCCTTTGATCTGATGCCCTGGAGGTCTGACCGAGGAGGCCCTCTCCCCAGGCAGAGTGATAATGATGATCACTCGGTGCACACGTACCCGTGGCCTCGCGCCCCCTGGACTCACCGCCTGTGTCCCTGAGAAGCCTGTGTCTTGGTGCTAACCCTCCTCAGAGTGCTGTGTAGACCTCTCACTGGCGCACACAGCCAGGAGGGAGGACGAGGTAAGTTGTGGGAAGGCGTGGACACTGACGGCAGGAAGCCTCCCACGTGACTGTCTCCTGAGGGCGCGAAAGAAGTCGAGAGACACAGTGCCAGCTCGGAAGCTCCGTGGGTCGGAGTGTTGCGTGCCAGGCAGAGCTCAAGCTGGGAAGGCCCGTGTGCCCGTTCTCTTCATCTGCCCTGCACCCTCCGAGGGGCGTCACCCGTCATCGTGGGGCCTGGGCGGCCACTCGCTGGTGGAGTGGCGCTCACCAGTCTCCCCTGAAACAAGCTGCCTTTTCTGTGCGGGGAGAACACAGCCTCTCGTCGCACCCCAGCAGGAGGCCCCGCCGCCCGCACACAAGGAACAGGGTTCGCTTGGGTGGGGCACCCTTTCCCCAGCCTGTCGGAGGGAACCCGCGGGTGTCACAGCAGACGAGCCCCACGGTGACGCCGCCAGGAGGCTGAGGAAGGAGCAGGACTCCACACGGACCGGCTCCCCAGTCTCTGCTCTCCTTTCTCGTCTTCCACAGGAGAGCCACTCCTGGCAGGTGTGCACATGCGGCTGGTTTTGTTCTTTTCAGCTGTCACAGTATTGATTTTTTCCGTTATTGTGCTAAAATACTGGCAGTCATTGGTTTAACAAGGTGTAATTGCGGGAGCTCGCCACAGCTGGAGTTTCTGTGATACAATTTCAAATCTTCTAAAATGTGCTGTAAATATCCTTATAAGGGTTTTACCTAAAGAAATGCATGCGTGACCCCGAAACATTGCTCTTCTTGACTTGCTGCCCAATTTCCTTGCTAATTCCACAGAGAACACGTTTCCTTAACAAAATTTCAAACTTTCGGAATTGATGATTGATTTACCTCCTCAAAGTTAAGAATGTAAATAATGTTTTGTGTGTAAAACTTCTGTAAGACACCACACACGCAGGCTAGGAATGAGCCTTCGAGATGCAGTCACGGGGGAGGGGACAGCTCAGTAGTGGAGCGCGTGCTGAGCACGCACCAGGTCCCGGGTTCAGTCCCTCATACCGCCATTAAGAAGTAAAGTTAAAAAATAAATAAGTAAACAAGACGCCGTCAGGCCTCAGATGGGAAGAGGAGCATGGACGTGCGGAGCCGGGTGGGGCCGGGCCGCTTCCTGAGAAGTGGTGGCGCCTCCCGGTTACGGGCGTGGGCTTGGGAGCAGACCCGACACCAGCATCTAGGGGCTGCCGGGACCTGGGGCCGGCGGGCACTTAGTCTCTGCGCTTCCTTTTCTTCACGGGCTGTCGGGGGCAGATTTGGACTCTGGCTTCCTCCACCCACCGTGGCCTTGGGAAGGTGACAGTCTCTGAGCCCCAGTTTCTTTATAAAAGTGGGTTTATTAGCAGTGCCTACTTCACAGGCCGTTGGAAGGATTAATAAGCTAGTGTACGTGAAATGCTTCGTGCAGAGCCCCCTCCAGCGAGTCCTCCGTGCTGTTACGGCCTTTGCTGTCCCCTTGTCCTTGTTACGTTGACTCCGTTACTCCCGGGAATTGCACGCGCTCGATAACTGCTCGTTGCTGTTATTAGCGTCTAGTGCAGTGCGCGGATAACGGTCCAGAAAGAGCATTTGGAGCTGTGACGTTGAAGTCCCCAGGTATTTCTGTGGCCCGGAAAGACTGTAACCAACAGCGAAAGAGAGATGCAGGCTACATCCCTGAGCGTTCTGCCTTTTTGTCCCCAAAAGTTTAGTCTCCTATATGTTGAGGAATTTTTCCTGAGAAAAACACCTCGAATTTTATCAAGAATTCCCTGTCAAAGCAATTGAGTCATTGAAACTTCCTTTGAAAGGATTTAGTCAAGCGGCCCTTGTAAGACAGAGTGGAGCAAATGGCCACCTGCGCTTGGAAGAAGAGACAGAGCCCCGTGTCCCCGGGCGGCGCGACGCCTTGTGCAGCGCATCCCTGCCGCTCCACGTGTCTCTGGTTTGTTTTTTTTAAAAGGGCTTTCTGAATGTTTATTTTTGTATTTTGTAAGTCAAGACTGTATGAACTCTGTATGAACTGCCAAGGATTGAGCTCCCAGGATAAAAGGAGGAAGCAGAGGTTGGATAGGACATCTGATTCTTATTTTAATCTGAACGGAAAATAAGTAAGTTTACAGGTTTGCTAAATAGAAGTGGTAAAAGTTCCCATGATGCCGCCCTGCTGGCGCGGTGCGGGTGACGTTATTCTGTGACCCAGTCCGGGGCCGTGCCTTGCTGGTGCGGGGCTCCACCTTCACGTCTGTGCCCGTCCGTGCCTGCTGGCTGCCGCCTTCCTCACCATGTAATACTACGTCCCACCTGGGAGACTGACAAGACGTCTTCTCCTGTGTCCCCTGTACGGCAGTCGCACTGTTCTATGGCCTTTAGTTTGGGGGTGAGTAACATGCTTTGCCTTAAGACCCGATTTGAATCCAGCCTGGCGGCTGTGTAGCTTCCCACGAGTCACTTAACCTCTCCTGACGCGTCGGGGTCCTTGTTTGGTAGATGGCAGTAATAAAGCCCACAGCAAAGGTTCTTGTGAGGGTTAAATGGAATAACGCATTCAGTGCTGTTG